TCATGTGTCTCATGTGTCTCACATGTGTCACATGTGTCTCGTGTGTCTCTTCTGTCTCTCATGTGTCTCACCTGTCTCTCATGTGTCTCACGTGTGTCTCGTGTGTCTCGTGTGATCTCACCAGCCTCTTCTCTTCTCTCTGCAGTCGGGCCCGTGATGGCGCGCGCGATCGCGGCGACGACGAGCGCCCAGCGGCGCCCCCGCACGGAGAAGCGGCCCGTGCCGAGCGAGTCGAAGGACGTGCGCTACTACGAGCGCCGCTCGCGCAACAACTCCGCCGCGAAGAAGTCGCGCGACATGCGCAAGGAGCGCGAGGACGAGATCGCCGTGCGCGCCTGCTTCCTCGAGAAGGAGAACGCCGTCCTGCGCGCGCAGGTGTCGACGCTGCGCGACGAGGCCGGCTCGCTGCGGCAGCTGCTGATGCAGAAGCGCGGCCGCCACGCCATGTGATGACGACGACGACGACGACGATGGATGACGCTACTAGTGCTCGCTGTTCCCAGCAGGGTGCGCGGGCGCGTGCAGTCTTTCACTCGGTAGATGTGAGCTTCGAAGATTCCCCACCATCTCCGGGGGGTGTGTCGCCCCCCTGGCGGCGGTGCAGTCGCGAATATTTTTTTAATACCGAATGAAACACGGCGGTTGTCTTGTTGTGTATGCGCGCGGTTCGGCTGCGGTGTTGTTGTTGTTGTTGTTGTTGTTGTTGTACATATGTACTGTAAAGTTGCGTGGAGATGGTAGCGCGGCGATTTTCGGCTGACGCATTATTCGTGAGCTGATGTGATATTGCTACAGCTGCTGCACACCTTGAACATTGACCTTACTACCGACCAGCCGTCCCCGGCCCCCCTCCACATATTATTATACGGAGAGGAAATTTTTTTATGCATTCGATGTGATTTGTACCAATGTATGCACGCGTCTATATATATATATATGTGCGCGCGCGCGTGTGTGTTTACGTGTTTTCACGGGTGCAGGGTCACGTGATGTGACCGCTGTTAACTTGATTAATACGGGTATTATGTTAATAGATGGCGCTGCGTGTTCTAGCGTGAAGAGAATGGATGCGTCAGTATGATGGGAGGGTAGGTGTTACGGATTGTTGCCATGCACACTTGCTCAAGCAATGTACTATTTTATATCTCAGGAATACCATGTGTGCGTGCGCGTGCGCGTGCGCGTGCGCGTGCAGGCCCACATGCTGTGTGTGCTTTTTCGACCCATTGTGATCCTATTTATACCTCGTTTTTTTAATTGCGCGGAACAGTGTTCACTTCTTTCACGAGTGAGTTGTTATTCCGCTTCGTCATTGGCTCTCAGATCGTGAGCGCCTCTTGTTCCAGTGTGCTGCTGTCTTGTTCATGAAGCAATCGCCCCCATGCCGTAACTTGCTTAATGCTCATAGCAGAAGAAGCCAGATAGATTGAAGCCCAGTATGCACTCACCAAGCTTTTACTGACGAGTATCGTAAGCTGTGGAGAAAGAGAGGGAAGAGAGAGAGAGGTGGAAAGTGAGAGTGGGGCAGATGAGAGGGAGTGTGTCTGTGAGAGAAAGAGAGAGAGAGAGAAAAAGAGAGAGAGAGAAGGAGAGAGGGAGAGAAGGAGAGAGAGAGAGAAGGAGAGAGAGAGAGAGAAGGAGAGAGAAAGAGAAGGAAAGAGAGAGAGAGCGAGAGAGAAGAAGAGAAGGAGAGAGCGAGAGAGAGAGAGATGAGGAGGAAGACGGGGTGCGATGCAGTGAAATAGGTGAATATGGAATGAAAAGGGGAAGGTTATATGCGACGGGCTGTACAAGGGACCAGTAAGATCAGTTTCTTTCACATGGGGTTATGTCGCAGAATTCTGCTAACTACTGTACCTCCAAGGCGATCCATCCTTGAGGGGTCGCCCACGCACCGGTCTTCCCCCGTACGATTGTGGGGGCAGCGGGTGTGTGAGGGCAGACCCGGCGACGTGAGCGCCACGTGCGTGCGGTGGCGGGTTCCCGCACTACGCTGGAGGCTGCTGCGTGGTGAATCAGCCGTGCAATAATCACGCCAGTAACGTGGGGCTTCTATTCCGACGAGGTTTTTTCGTCTTCATGGTAACGCAGCGACGGACGGTGCATCTGCGGGAGGTCGCCACCCGCGCGCGCACACGGTCTGCGTACACAGACGCAGTCATGTAGTTGCCGCAGCGCCACCTTGTGGACGACCCGCGACCCGTCCGTCGGCAGCAGGAATCCATTCACAGGTTGGACTCAGGAACTGTATGTTAGAGTAGTATGTCCGGTAGATGGCGCTAGTGGCGGCGGTGTTCGTTGTGCGGCCATGTTTATAAAGTTTACGTTTTGTGTTTGTGCGTGTCATTGTATAGTTTATAGCTTTTTCACGAGTTATACATATATATATATCTATAATCTATATATATCTGTCTCTCTCTCTATATATATATATATCCATATATAGACGCGATGCTTTCAAAGCAGACGAACAAGTTTGAATACGGGTATTTAGTGTAGGCCTAGGCCGCAGGCAAGCCGACTCAACTGGCGGTTCTTCGATGCACCGGACAGCAGCTAGAGGGCGCCACTACCACCCACCCATATTGCACTGTACCCTGGGACTATCTAATATGCCGAACCGTACCTCGCCTACTCCACTAACGAGTCTAGGGAGTCGCCTACGCCTACTCCCTAACCCTAACCCTAACCATAACCCTAACCCTAACCATATCAAATAGTTACCAGAGTATGTTCCGGTATTATATACCGGAAACCCTAACCCTGGGGGACATAGACCCTATGAGCTCTACTAGCGTGTAACGTTGAATGTTGCGAGGTCTATCTCTCGGCTCCAAACGTAGAGATGAAGTGTTGGTATTGTGTAGCCGTGTCTAGTCATGATAGTGTATGAAATGTTCAGCCTGCGTCACTGAGAAGGCTTGCAAACGAACGTTAACCCCCCTCCCCCTCCGCTACCTTCGTTTTGCTTCAACTTCTCATGTATATAAATGTTGTATCTAATGCTGATAATTAAACACAAACTAAACTATACGAACGATGCTTGGATTACGCGATGACAAAACAAATATGGCGGCCGTATTGTTTGTGACACCGCCTCAGCGTTTATTAGTTCCACAAATCGCCACGCGAGAACAGCGCCACGTTTGTGCGCCCGGGCAAGGTCCATCTGTCCATCGAGTCGAATTCAGGCCAATTTCACCGCTGCGTATGCGTGAGTGAGCTCCGGACAGTGGTCAGCCGTGGCGTCGGGAGGGGGAGGGGGAGAAGGATGGGTCATCGCGCGGCCGCAATCCTCTGCCATAGAATAATGCAGGTTATGCTGTTTTTCTTCTCGCTCGTTTGCTTATTCAAACCATCTCTCTTTATCTCTCTCGCCCATGCACCTCTCCTCGCTCTCACACTCCCTCTCTCTATCTCTCTCGCGCGTTCTCCCCCTCTTCTGTAGGCGTGTTTCTCTCTTCCATTTGCCGTAAAAGCAGACGAGTTTGGCCCGACGGTCCATACCGTCATCAACTGTTGTAAATAACCCCTCCCCCTCTCCCCCCAACCATCCCTGCCGCCGCTGCCGCCGCTGCCGCCACGCGCTGAGACGCCGTGAGTAATGCAATAATGCAGCGGTCAGTCTGTTGTCCAGCGGCTGGTCAAACCCGTGTAACCGGCCACATAATCGATGACTGACCATGGGGAAGGCGAGAACCAGTCCGGTGGGCGCTAGCAGGATGGGTGACGGAGCACACTTTCGATAGTAAATTATATGTTATTGAATCATATAAATGTAATATTATTTGCACTGCAGGGTGCGCGAGAGCTCTACTTTCCCCACGTATATTATATATGTACGCGTGCGTGCGTGCGTTTGTGTATGCGTGCGTGCGTGCGTGCGTGCGTGTGTGTGTAGGCTAGTGTGCGTTTGCGCGCGTGCGTTGGTGTATGTGTGTTGGACTGCGTGTGTGTGCGGTGCGAGCGCGCGTGCGTGTTTTTGTGGGGGCTAGATTTATGCTCTATAGATAAGTGTGTGCGGCACACCCGTGCGCACCACTCCAATGTCCGGCCACTCGGCATTGCCAGTAGAGTGACCACTGGTCAGCCTGCGTGTAACACGAGGCGAGCTCGTGACCGACATTTGCGCCCGGCTCTCCCGTAATCGGCCCCTCCGGCCGTCTGACCACTGGCCGTGAATGGCGAGTGGTCAACAGTGCATAATGCGTTCGTTCGCTCGCCGCACCGTGGAATGCAGCCGTGACCATTGTCCATTCCGTGGCCGGACCCGGACCCCACAGTGACCATCTGGTTTTCGAGGATCGTGGGGAACAATCAGCGCCACACCGCGGGTCGTTGTTTTTTTGATAAAGAGAGCGGACCTCTCTGGTTTCAGCTGGCAGTACAATCGGCGTCCTGCTAGGAAAGGTACACGGTTCTTATATGGAGCCGTGGTTACCGGGGGGTGGGGGTGGGGGTGGGGGGCGGGGTGCGGGGGTAGCAGTGTCGGAATACCGCCAGCAGCGACGGGCCATGCATAATTACATAGCAGGCAGTGCAAAAGTTGTCTGATTGTACCACTGCCTACACGCTACAGAGCGTCTGGCCGTGCGTAGCGTGCGCTTTCCATGCGCTCTCATCTTCCCTCCGGCTTTTTTCTCGCTCTCTTCTCTAATCTCTCTCTCTGCTCTATCGCCACACACTCGTCGCTACTCTTTCT